GAATGTATCTAACTACTTCGTAACTACTGTTGAATCGGTTTGATGGTGTAGCCCCAAGGAAATTGCACTGCTAACCCAAAGGCTGAGCGTCTGGCGGTTCAAATCCACCCGTGGCTCCTCGGGAGAAGGATGGGTCATCTGTGCGGTTTACTAACTCTGAAAGCCCACTGGAGTGTCAGCTATGGGTCTATTCCAACTTCCCACAGCAATGAGTTTGCGATTTAAGTCTACTCGACGACACCTAACAACAGAAAAAGGGAGAGTTAACAGTTTCCCTGATATGTAAAGTCAGTAATGGAAATTATGGTTACAATATAATGAGAAGTCTTAGAATAGACACGAGTCTAGACCACTGTAGAACATATAGAACAGGAACACTGGAAAGCTAGCAGGATTCCAGAAAAGGCTTTTCTGAGGAAGTAACATTTTAACGGAATCTAGAAGGATGGGTAGGGGTTAAATCGGCAAACTTCAATAGTGAAAGGCCGAGTCAAGCTGGCCTAGAGCAGGTAGATGTAGAGGACAATGTGTTTAGAGATTAATTAAACAGAAGGCTCCAATGGCTGAATCATAGGCTCTTGATATTGGGGGAAGGAGGTATTGCAACACAAAAAGTTCAAAGCATGGAGGTTCTTGCTCAGTGTTTGGATTTCGTTTTATCCTGTAAGAGTGGAAATTAAGTAAAGAATATTAAACAGGAGACATCTGAGTGATCTTGGGCAAGTTTCTTAACTCGTTTGTGTGTCACAGTTTTTTTAACATGAAAAATGAAAGATAATACCGATGCTACAAGATTGTTATACTAATTGAGTCAGTTAATTGGAAAAGGGGTTGTCAAAAAGCAAGCCTTTATGTATGTCAGCTGCTTTTATGATTCTGTGCAATTTAGTCTTAACACACTTAGGTGGTAATAAGTTAAAGTATAAAGGAATGGACTGTAGTTGGATAGCTGTTCCTATCCTTTCCACTTACTGAAGTGTCACATTGAGTACAATTTTAAAATGTTTAGCAATAGTTTTCTAAATGCCTATTTCATATGACTATTATGCCTAACATATAACGTGATACCCAACATATAGTTAATGTGTGGCAGTTATCTTTAATCTTTATTCCAAACTGTAGATTTTTATTCAGTAATGGGCAATAACACTGATATAGGAAGTACCATATGAACAAGAGCCTATGGTGATAAAGGAAGAAGTTGAAGTTGCACTGAAGGCATTGGTAATAAATAAGGTCCCAGAAGTCAATGAGATACTGATTGACCTATTTCAACTAACAGATGCAATTCTGGACATGCTCATCAGTCTGTGTAAAGAAATTTGGAGGACAGCTATTGGAAGAAATCCATATTCATTCCCATGAAAAGTGATCCAAAAGAATGTGGAAATTATAAACAAAATATCATTAATATCACATGCCAGCAACATACTGCTGAAGATCATTCAGATACTGCTAGAATGGTACATAGATAGGGAACTGCTGTAAATTTGAGCAGAATTTAGAAGAGGCTATGGCAGTAGGGATATCCTGCTGATGTTACAGATCCTGGCTAAAAGCAATGAATACCAGAAGAATGTCTATTTGTGCTTTATGGACTATGCAAAGGCATTTCACTGTGTGGATCATAACAAGTTATGGCTAGCATTGAGAAGAAGGCGAATCCCAGAACTCTTAATTATGTTCATGTGAAATCTAGATCAAGAGATGAACAAAGCAAGAAAATACTACATGGTTTAAAAAAGGTATCAAGGTTGTATCCTTTCTCCATACCTATTCAATCTGTATACTGAGCAAATTATTCAAGAAACTGGACTCTATGAAGAAGAAAGTGGCATCAGGATCCAAGGAAGACTCATTAGTAATCTGTATTATGTAGGTGATACAACCTTGCTTGCTAAAAGTGAGGAGGACTTGAAGTACATGCTGTAGAAGGTAAAAAATATGTGTGTGTGTGTGTGTGTGTGTGTGTGTGTGTGTGTATCCTTCTACAGTAGTCCAGAGTAAAGGCTGCATAGTGGAGTGCACTTTGGGGGGGAGGGGGGGCAAATTGTATAATAATGAAAGAGTTTTTCTTTTCAAAGAGAAGAGTGAATTGGGGCAGTGGGGAGGAAGAAAAGTGCAACAATGAATGACTGGAAACCCTGTCTCTGTAAACTTTCATTAAAATTAATAAGAAAAAAAAGTATAAGTTATAAAGCACTGGAAAAGAAAATATAGTCTTTAATATGGATTGCATCTCAATATCAAGAAAACAAAAATTCTTAACACTGGACCAAAAGGCAGTATCATGATGGAGAAAATATTGAAGCTGTTAACAATTTCATCTTACCTGGATCTACAATCAACACCCTTGGTAGCAGCAGTCAGGAGATTAGGAGCCTTATTGCACTGGGAAAGTCTGCAGTCAGGGAATTCTCCAAATTATTGAGGAGCAATGATGTCAGTTTGAGGACTGACGTGTGCCTGATCCAGGCCAAGGTCTTTTCAATCACTTGCTATGCATCTGAGAGCTAGACAGTGCATAACGATCACAGAAGAAAAATTGATGCCTTTGAGCTATGGTATTGGAGAAGAGTACTGACTGTCCCATGGTCTGCCAAAACAAATATGTCTTGGGAAAAGTGCAGCCAGAATGCTCCTTGGTGGCAAAGATGATAAAGCTTCATCTCACATACTTCAGGTGAGGCTATTCCTTGAAGAGGGACATCATGCTTAGAAAGGTAGCGAGTCAGCAAAAGAGAGGAAGACCCTCAATCAGATGGTTTGACACAATTACTGCTACAGTGGGCTCTAGTCTGTCAGTGGGAGGGTGGCACAGGATAGGACAGGGTTCCAATCTGTTGTTCACTGGGTTGCTTTAGGTTATACTCGACAGCACCAAACAACAACATGGATAGTAAAATCATTGCTGCCAAGTCATCAGTTAAAAATATGTATCATGAGGGAGCTCTGGTGGCCTAGTGGCAAGACGCTGCACTACAATCCCAGAGGTACGCGGTTCAAATCCACCAGATGCTTTGCTGGAGAAGGAGGGGGCAATCTCCTCCTGTACCAGTCAGATCTGATTTGACGGTACACGTAAAAATAATACAAAAAAATTAAAAAAAATGTATCGTGAGCACAGCGGTGGGCAGAGAGGCAGTGCCAGAGCAACCCAGCTTTGTGAAGGCTCTGTGTGCGTCATGGCCCACAGGCACGAGCCCTCCCTGCCGTCAACATGCCCAAGAGGAAGGTCAGCTCAGCCAAGGGTGCGGTGAAGAAGCCCAAGAGGAGATCAGCGAGGTTGTCAGCTAAGCCGCCTGCAAAAGTGGAAAAAAAAAGTGGAAATGAAGCCCAAAAAGGCAGCAGGAAAGAAGAAGTCTTCTGACAAAAAAGTGCAAACAAAAGGGAAAAGGGGAGCAAAGGGAAAACAGGCTGAAGTGAACTAACCAAGAAACTAAACAAGATTTACCTGCAGAAAATGGAGAAACTGAAAAAGAAGAGAGTCCAGCCTCTGATGAAGCAGAAGAAAAAGAAGCCAAGTCTGATTATTATTTGTCTACCATGTCTTTGATTGCGTTGTGTTTGTTTTGTACCATTGAGTGGGAACTGATGCAGAGCTGGTGCATAGTGGGTTTTAAGAAACAGTTAATTGCACAGGAGGAAACTGCCCATAAGCAAGAGCGGCATCCACTTCCAAAATGGCTTGCCTCCAGAAACTCTATGTAGGAACAGTGCTCAGGCTGTTCGTTCATAGGGTCGCTATGAGTTGTCTACAACTTGACGGCACCAAACAACAACAACCATGTCTTATCAGTGGTCCCCTATATCTCCTCTCTTGTACAATCCAGAGGAATATTTTTATCAACTATTTTGTAAATGCAAGTGTTTTGGTAACTCTAGAAACATTTTTAAGAAGAAGGAAATCCCACTTCATCCCATTTTTAAGTGTAAATGCTTTTTTTTAAGAGGTGAGATCATTTGCTGGTTGTTTATTTTTTGGTACAACCAGAAGATGTGAGATGTTAAAATTATGGGGGGGGGCTTTGGATGTCAGTGTAACATTCCATGAGGAAAGGGACAGTTTTTATATCCCATAATACATAGTATAAATGACAATTTGGAGTTATAGTCATGCATTTATGACTTGAACATTTTAAATTTAAGTCTATTTTCCATGTTTTTTTGGATACATAAATTAGAACATTGTTTAGTAAAACTTCTTCTTAAACATAACCACTCCCTTTTCATGACTTTCTCCCTGTCAGAAATATGTGGATTCTGTAACATCTTTGGTCTTGGTAGTCCAGTTTTCCTAATAACTTTGTTATGTGCTGTAAACAGTTGAAAATTTGAATGTGCAGTGTGTGTGAGAGTAAATTGTGAATTAGTGGGACTTAATGATGTGACAGTTTATCAACAATTGAAGATACTGGTACTTATTTTCTTCTTTATGAAAACTTTCCTCCAAATTTAAAGCTGGAAGGTCACTGGAATTTTGAAAAGAATTATAACGACGTGGCTTTTTAGAGTTTTGGTACGTGCACTAAGAATTGTGTACAGGTTATTCATAATGTCTCTGTACTGGCCCTTAGAACAACCAATAAAATATAAATCATGAAAGGAAAAAAAATATGTATCGTATCAGGTGTGAAAAACAATGTATAAGAACTTTGTAAGTAAACTACTATAAAATAAAAATTTTATTTTTAGAAAAAGTATCAGGGGGAAAATATATATGGGAAAATATCTGTATTGGGCATAGTAAAGTTAAGCCTGGTTTCTGAAAACTTGTCTATATGAGTAAATGCATATATTAATACATATTTGTGTACTATGAATGACGTAGTTTTTCTCATTCAAAAATAGTTTAAAAATCCTTCTTTCAGAAAAACAGGATGACAGAAAGAAAACCATCAACTTCCTTAGCTGCCCAGGTTTACCCCCAGTGCTCAGTTTCTTCTCTGATACTGTGTATGTATGATCAATGGGAACCAATGTTATTTTCTTTCCAGATCATGGAGGACACCCAGGTTATTGACTGGGAGAGTGAAGAAGAGGAGACAGAAATATCCAGTGACTTTGTGGGTTCCAGCTTGGAGCCTCTAGGGAGACTGCACATCTTCAGCAGTACTCATGGGCCAGAAAAAGGTCAGAGGGTATTGGGTATTGAAGGGTCAATATCGGTGTGTGCCATCAAATTGATTCTGACTCACAACGACACCAGAGAGCAAAGTAGAATTGCCCCATGGGGTTTCCCAGAGCAGATCACCAGATCTTTTTCTCCCTCGGAACTGAAGGGGTTTTCACTTGTCAACGTTTTCATTTGCACCTGAGTGCTTAACCACTACTCTTTTTATTTTTATCATAGCCTTTCATTTTTGTGGGGACATTTTGAAGATTACAAAAGGAGACTCAAAAATCTTTTCACTTAGAATAGAGAGGTCACAGCCTATTGAGTCAATACAGGCTTGTCATGAGGAGGGCAGAGTTGTAAATCTTGGTGGAAGCATACTGTCTCATCTTTCTTCCACAGAGCTGGCAGGTTCCAACTTCTGACCTTTAGGCTAACAGCACAGTGCTCACACCAGTCTGCCAGGAGGGCTTCTTGGGAATAGAAAAGAGGGAATTCATGAAGTTGATTGTTCAAGTCTAGTGCGCATTCAAATAAAAGTCCTGCATGGTTGGATAGGTGTTTATGAATAATACACTCTATGTACTCTGCAACTCCTAGATGTTCTGGGGCTGTTTATTTTTCTAAAGCATGTGGAGTACATAATGGAACACCTAACATGAACATTTTCCTGAGAAAAAAAACAGACCAAGACTCATGCCTTAGAACTTGTATCTACCTCTGATTCTTAGATTTCCTGCTTTACCTTGGCGAGAATGTGGTAGGCCGAATGCCTGACTGTGCTGTGACCCTGCCCTTTCCATCCGTCTCCAAACAACATGCAGTGATTGAGATTGTGGCCTGGGACAAGGCACCTATCCTCCGGGATTGTGGGAGCCTCAATGGTACTCAGGTTCTGAAGCCACATAAAGTCCTGACCCCTGGGGTGACCCATCGTCTCAAGGACCAACAGTTTATTCTCTTTGCTGACTTGCTCTGCCAGTATCATCGTCTGGATATCCCTTTACCTGTGGCCTCCCGGGCCCCTCTAATCATAGAGGAGACGCCTAAGGTCCAGGGAGGAACTCAATCCCATGGGTTGTTGTTGGCTGAGGACTCAGAGGAGGAAGTAGGTAAGTTTGTGGTGTCCTGAGGGTGGGGAGACAGGGATAGAGGCAGGAGTATAAAATTATCCACTTATTCCTTTCTACTCTTGACAGATTCTCTTTCTAAAAGCTGTTTGGAGAAAAAGTCAAGGACCACATCCTCGCCTTTGGCAACAACAGTAGTCCCAGAGAGGTAGGTGCGAAAGGTAGTCTTAAAAGAAGAACCAGGAGCTGGAGGATTGAATTTCATAGCAGAGATAATTATCATGAAATTTGGTGCATTCACTCTGCTGAATTTTTTTTTATTTTATATTGGTTTGCTTACAAAGTTTGTATATATTGTATTCCATACTATCCTTGATTCACATTGTGTTTCCTACAATCATTCCCATTCATTATATTTTATAAAATTGAAATCATTGAACTTTGCCCACCATTACCCTGGCTTTCCAGATCCCCACTGGATTTTCCCATTTCCTTTACCCACCCCTCCCTCCACCCACCAAATTGTGTGGCTTTATGATTTCCCCTCTGCCCATCCTCATCCTTTTGTTTGCACCCTCCCCTCCTTGGATCCTCATATACATTTTACTAGTTAGCTTTCTATTTCTACAATAATGGTCTTATTCAGTATTTGTGCTTATGGGACTGAGTTCATTCACCTGGCATAATACTATCCAGTACCTCCCAGGTTGTAGAGTAATTTTCAAAATTGTTGCTTCTGGGTGCTGTGTAGTAAGTATTCCATCGTGTGAATGCACCACTATTTCTCAATCCATTCGCTTGTGGTTGCACATTTAGGCTGTTCCCATGTTCTTGTGATGGTGAATAACACTGATATGAACATTGGTGTACAAATCTCTCCTGAATATTTATAAGCACTTCTGATGTACCAAGTGAAGTAACAATAAAAATATTGTTGGAGATAGAGAAGAGTCATTACCTTCTATCTCTTTTAATAAACTCAGGTTGAGTGAGGTGTCCCTTCTGAAGAAATAGACTACGTAATTTTCTTTTCTTCCCAGTGATGAAGAAGGGGCTTCTTTTGTCATGAATGGCCCTACGGCACCCTGTGCCTTCAACTTGGACAGTGACACCGATGAAGAAGAAGGTCAGCATCTAGCATCAGAGGAAGCCTCAGCCTCCAGAAGAGGTTTCCCTACAGAGGCTGAGCAGCCTGATGCAGATGGAATCAGAACTAAACTCCAACTTGAAAACAATTGGACTTTAGTGAAAAAGGGAGACGGTGACACAAGAGTTGAGAAGGACAGAGGCAAAGCAGTGGTTCCAGTCAAGGTGATGCTAGAGAGAAGCCTCCCTGCTGATGAGGACAGTGACACTGATGTGGATGAGGACAACAGGCCTCCAGGAAAGCCACCAGAGGGTCATTTAGAAAGGGCTCAGCCTTCTAACTTCATTGATAGCGATACTGATGTAGAAGAGGTGATCCCTGCAACCCCAAATGTAGTTCTGATGAACAAGAAGCAGATCTTCCCTGTAGTTGGAATGAATAGTTCTGGGGTACCTACCGTGGCACAGCTGCAAAAGAGCCAGCGTGGTGGTGATGCACATGTGGAGCCAGGTGAGGCCCAGCCAGTGGTCCATCTCAAGAGAGGCCAAGCCTCCATGGTGATCAACAGCGATACAGATGATGAGGAAGAGGTTTCAGCAGCGCTCACCTTGGCACATCTGAAAGAGAGCCGAGCTGTGACAGACCACAGAGATATCAGTTTAGAAGAGGCCAGGGCCCCAGCTGTGGGCCTTCTGGGGCAAAACCAAACCTCAGCTGAAAAAGACAGTGATACAGATGTGGAGGAGGAGAAACAACCCATCATCAAAGGCCACACACACAAGGGTAGAGCTCTTGTTAATGCACATTCTGGAAATAGCCAAACTCTTCTTAGGGATAGTGATGAAGATGTGCAGAGAAAGAAAAGTTCACCAGGGGATCACTTGGAGAGAAGGCAAGTCACCACCACATTGGACAGCAGCCCAGACATGGAGGAAGAAGGTCCATTAGAAACAGCTATTGTGCATCTGGAGAAATACCAGGCACCTGTGGAAGGGACACATCAAACAGATGTGAAAACAGAGGAGAGCCCAGTAAAATTGCCTGTGGTGCACCTAAAGGAAATCTGGCCTCCTCAAGCTGAGGGCTCTGAAACAGATAATGAAGAGGATATGTCATTCATGATTTCAGCATTGGCAGATGTAAGAAAGAGCCAGCTTCCGGCAGAAGGGGATGCTGGGACGGAGAGGGCTTCAGCTGTTCTTAAGAGGGAGAGAGCTTTTGAGAGAGGGTCCCAGGGTGGATCGCCTATAGCACAAGTGGAGCAGGACCTTCTCCCTCTATCAAGGGAGAACCTAACAGATCTGGTGGTGGGCACAGGCACTCCAGGGGACCTCAGCCAGCCACATCGAAAAGGAGCCCTGACTCCCATAGAAAGAAAGAGAGAACCACGTGCAGCCAGGGCCAACGACTTTAAAAGCAGCCTTGATGGTAAGTGCTAGCCTTTCCCCCTATATCTCCTGACTCCTGAAATAAAGAATGGATGTCAAAGTTGTGTTGGGAAGTGAATATTAGAAGATAAAATAAGGGATTAAGGATCAAAAAGTGATTGTCTAGAATCTCTCTTGAACTCCTCCCCACCAGATTCTGAAGATCTGGACTTGCAGGCTACTCAGTGCTTTATGAATCCGAGAGAGAATCCAAGCCTAGCAGGTGAGAATATTGATGTTGGCTAGGTACTGGTGTCAGAGCAGCTCAGGAGACTAGATTGGTCGTTCTTGAAGTGTGGAGGCTGGAGGGTAGGCAGGAGTCTGGGACTGGGAGCTTGGGATTTTATGGAAGAACTATGCTTCTCAAGAGTTCTGGTGGCATAGTCCACAGAGAGTTACGCAGCTAACCCAAAGGCTGTGCCTCTCTGGTGGTGCAGGTGGCTCTGGGAGAAAGATGGGAAATCTCCCATATCGTTTATTGCCTCAGAAACCTACTGAAGGGTCAGCTGTGAGGTTCCAACTTGATGGCATTATGTGAATGTGTACTTAGTAGGCCATATTTTCTTGTGCAGCCATCCAGAGCATGGAGGACGAACCCACCCAGGCCTTTCTGTGTACTCTACCCCGAGAAGAACCTGGCCCTTCCTATTGCAGCATCCCGATCCCAGGTATGAAGGTGTTGTCTTAACTCTTTGAGACCAACATTAAATGTTAGAAGTATCACCTTAAGGGAGCTCTGGTGGCCTAGTGGCAAGATGCTGCATTGCAATGCCAGAGGTACATGGTTCAAATCCACCAGATGCTCTGCTGGAGAAGGAGGTGACAATCTCCTCCTGTATCTGTCAGATCTGATTTGACGGTACACGTAAAAATAATACAATGAAAAAAAAAATTTAAAAAGAAAAAGAACTATCACCTTTATTCCTAGCTTTCGTTTAAAGAGCCCATTTGGAGTTATTGCCTCTAACTTAATCTCTTCGGTTTCTATTTCTACCTCATTTTATCTATTTTTTTTTTAAATTTTATTCTTTTTTGTGCATGTACCGTCAAATCAGATCTGACTGGTACAGGAGGAGATTGTCCCTCCTTTTCCAGTGGAGCATCTGGTGGTATTTTTTATTTTTTTTTTCAATGGTGGGAAAAATTTGTATTTAGAATTAGCCAGCTGGACTCAGTTTAGATGATCCCAATTTTGTTGGCAAAATCCAAAGCATCATAGTCAGGAGCAAGTCAAACATAGGCCTTCTTCTCTCCATCAGGCTTAATCAAAGTTGACCTTAGCCACATCAGTGTCATAGAGCTTCTTTACAGCTTGTTTAATTTGGTGCTTATTGGCCTTGACATCCACAATGAACACTAGTGTGTTGTTATCTTCTATCTTCTTCATGGCTGACTCAGTGGTCAGAGGAAACTTGATGATGGCATAGTGGTCAAGCTTGTTTCTCCTGGGGGCACTCTTCCGGGAGTATTTGTGCTGCCTTCTGAGTCTCACCGTCTTAGGCTGCTGGAAGGTGGGTGACGTGAGGATCTTCTCTTTTTTGGCTGTGGACGCCCTTCAGGACTGCCTTCTTGGCCTTTAATGCCTTTGCTTTGGCTTCAGTTTTGGGAGGGGCAGGGGCTTCATTCTTCACTTTCAGTGCCATCTTCGTAGAAAGCTAATTTTCTCTCTTTTGTGTGACTATTTGTAGGTATCCCGGACGAGCCATGGGAGGTCTTAGCTACACAGCCATTTTGTCCAAGAGAGTCAGAGACCTTTGAGACCCAGCATATTGATGGCCACCTTGAGGGCCATGAAACTTGCCCCTCACCACCCAGGGCAACTCCACAAGACCATCACCCTGAGAGCCCAGTTCACACAGAGCTAGTGGGGAGTCAGGGCAGAGGGATACAGACTGAGGAGAAAGACCTGGGTATGCAAGGAGAAACAGGAAGGATGACGCCTGAGAGGAAGCCCTTGAAGAGGGAAACCGAGGAACCACCACCAGAAGGAGAGAGAGAAGTTAGGAGAAGAGAGGATGAATTAACAAAAGGGCTACAGGACAGGGAACAGAAACAGGTGTTAGCTAATGACTCTCAGAGACAAGAGTCTAATACAAAAGGGGAAGGTGCACATACTGAAAAGGATGTGGAGAGTTTACAGATAGAAATGGAGATAGCTAAGGAAATACAAGAGAAAGGAGTAGAGAAGCAGACCCTTGCTAGAGAAATGTTTGAGAAAGAGGCAGAGAGACCAGCACCAGAGAGAGAGTGTGAGCCAGCAGGGTTAGAAGTAAAGATTCCCAAAGAGACCCTGGAGGAGCCTAGCCCACAGAAAGGGGAGATTGAGGGCGGGAATCAGGACCAAGAAGGGCAGGCCTCCCTTCTAACACCAGAGTCTGGAGTAGGGGCGGGTCCCCTTCAAGAACTGGCTTCAGCCCCAATGGCTTCTAGTAGCCAGTCAGGTAGAGCAAAGGTAGACCCAATGAGTCCCAGAAGGCAGCGGAGAGGTAAGTAAGGGCAGAAGAACTGCAAGGTACTACACGACTCCTATTGATAATCAAACCCTGATCAACTGACTACTTGGAGCTTAGCCACCCTTGTCTTTGCCTTTTGTCTAGGCCGCCTGAGCTGCAAGATGACACCTACTGAGAAGGCTCCCAAGGTGAGTCCAGCTTTCCTCACATCTCTCCACCTCACCATTTAACCTCTGGCTTCTCCACTGCCTCTTCCCCTTCCCCTGACCTTGATTATGTCTACTCCTTGCCCTGTATACCTCAAATTATTCATTTCCTTTCATTTTTCACTAGTCCTTACTTAGATTCTAGAGTCCCTGGGTGATGTGAACAGTTAAGAGCTTAACTATTAAGGTTAGTTCAAACCCACTTAGAGGCATCTTGGAAGATAGGCTTTGCAATCTGCTTCTGAAAGATCACATAGTGTGAAAAGCCCTGTGGAGCAGTTCTACTTTGTACAATAGGGTTACCCTGACTCAGAGTTGAGTCAGTGATGGGCCATTTGGTTTTTTGGTTTAGTTGGTTTCTTCACTTTACTGAAAGCCATTGTTTTCCATAACTCCCTCTACCTGAGAATGAAGGTCCTTTTTTTCTTGTTCCTTTACTTTCCCCACATCGCTCATCATTACTACCATCCATTAATAGAGAACATGATAGTGGCATTATGTGGGGAGCACCACAGGGAAAGGGACTGTTTTCTCCCTCAGGAAGTGTCCGGTCTAACAGAAGAGGCCATAGGCAGATGTTAGCAAGCACTGTTAACAACCAGATTAGGGTATCCAACTTCTATCTCTTTTTCTCTCTACTTCTTCCTCCCTCACTTGCTTCTATTTCTCCCCAGGGTGATCCAGAATCCCCAGATGCTTTTCTGCTTCCACCAGTGCATAAAGCCACACTCCAGATGCCCCTTACCTCACAGGGCCGCCAAAAACATCCTGCACCACATCACCTGCTTTCCCCTTCTCTATCTTCTTTAGAAGTACCCATTCCCAGGACCAGGCAGAAAGGGAGTTCAAAAGCTCTAGAGATGCCTTTGTCCTCAGAGCTGGAGCCTCTCCAACCGAAGCCTAAAGCCAAGTCCCGAGGATCATCTAGGGTGACATCCTCTCTAGTTTCCTCAGCTGCTCTTGAGCCCTGTGCTCCCACCCCCTCAGACCAGCCTGTCACTCCTAGGCCTGCATCTCGGACAACTCCAGGCAGAACATGTAGGTCCTCTGTCAAGACTGTTGAACCCATTGTCCCTGAACTCCAACCTTCCAGCTCCAAGCCCACATCTAGGACCACTCGGGGCAGGGCACATAGGTCTACTATAAAGACACCTGAACCTGTTGAATCCACAGTGTCTGAGGTCCAGCCTTCCACATCCATAGAGCATCCTATCATCCCTGAGTCCTCATCCAGGACCACTCGGGGCAGGACACATAGATCTTGTGTCAAGACTCCTGAACCACTGGAACCCATAGCCTGTGAAGTCCAGCCTTCCAGCTCCATAGACAAGCCTTTTATCCCTAATCCTATATTGCAGGCTACTCAGGGCAGGGCACGTAGATCCTCAGTCAAGACCCCTGAACCAGTTGAACCCACAGCTTCAGAAGTCCAGCCTTCTACCTCTGCAGACCCATCTATCACACCTGAGCCGATGTCACAGGCCACTCAGGGCAGGACACGTGGGTCCTCTGCCAAGACCCGTGGGTCCTCTGCCAAGACCCCGGAATTGGTTGAACTCACAGCCCCTGACTTCGAGTCTTCTACCTTCACAGACCAGCCTGTTGCTCCCAAGCTAACTCAGGGCAGAACACAGAGATCTTCTGTTAAGACCCCTGAGTCAGTTCCCTCTATAGCCCCTGAGCTCCAATTTATGACTCCCAAGCCCTTACCTCGTGCTACTCGAGGCAAGACAAATAGGTCCTCTGTTAAGAACTCAGAACCAAATAAAGACACAACGTATAATCCCAAGACTTCCACCCCCAGAGATCAACCTATCACTTCTGATCTCACATTACGGGCCACTCAAGGCAGGACACGGAGGTCCTCTATCAATACATCTGAACCAGTTAAACACATAGCTCTTGAATCCCAGCCTTCCACCTCTGCAAACCAATCTTCCATTTCCCAAGACCAGTTTGCCAGCCCCAAGCCTCCGTCTCGGACCACTCGGAGCAGGACACATAGATCCTCTGCCAAGAACCTTGAGCCACTTGTTCCCATATCCCCTGATCTGGAGCTTCTTAATCCCCCAGATCAGAATGTCACCCCTGAGCCCATATTATGGACCACTCAAGGCAGGACACATAGGTCTTCTGTCAAGATCCCTGAACCAGTTGAACCCACAGTCCCTGACCTCAAACCTCCCACCTTCACAGACCAGCATATCACCCCTGAGCTAGCACAGTGTGGTCAAAGCAAGACACTACAGTCTTCTACAGTAAGTGCTGTTCCAGTTCCTGTAACCCCTGAACCCATTCCTCAAGCCAGCTGCAAGAGGACACTAAGAGGCTCTAGGAAGGATGAGCCCCTCACAATTCCAGTTGTCCATGAACCCTGCTCTGCACTCCTTGAACCTAAATCCCGGTCCTCAAGGAGCCAAAGACGAAGAGCAGCTGAGTCCCTTAGGGCCACTGATGAGCCTTCTTGCCTCCAACATCTTGAGGCATCCCCTCACTCTCCTAAGATTGAAGATATCAAGGTAGAAGATAGATCTGAGTTCACCTCAGAACCCCAGCTTAAGTCTTCTCCAAGTGACAAAAGGACTGAAGCTATTAAGGATTCCCCTCCACCTCAAAAACGGCCCAGAAGAGGGCAAATTGCTCAGAAGACTGAGATCATTAAGAAAGAAGAGGAAGATCCTGCAGAGATGCCAGGGAAACAAGAGGTAAGGAAAGGGCTGGGGCCACAAAGCTAGGAAAAAGAACTTAGAAACACCTGCCAACATCTTTCTTCATCTCAGGATGTAGTGATTCCAGTATCAGACAAAAGAAAGAGAGACCAGTCAGAGGAGGAGTCCACAAAGACACAGAGACTTAGCCTCCGACAGCGCAAATCCAACCAAGAGGCAACACCCCCCAAGGTAAGAAGGGACACGGGTCTTGGTGGAGTTAGAGGCAGAAGGCCTACAGTATTTTCAAGCCAGTTGCTGCTGGCACATGTTGTCACGAGCAGCTTAGGCTAACCCCCTCTGCAGGTGCTCTTCACAGGAGTGGTGGATGCCCGGGGAGAACGGGCTGTGCTGGCCTTGGGTGGAAGTCTAGCCAGCTCAGTGACAGAAGCTTCACACTTAGTCACAGATCGGATCTGCCGGACCGTGAAGTTCTTGTGTGCCTTGGGGCGAGGGATCCCCATCTTGTCCCAGGATTGGCTGTACCAGGTGAGAGGGTAGTAGATAATTACTGACCAATAATGATGATGGCAGGAGAATATTGCCCATACAGTACTATAGAAAGCATTGGTGGAAGGAAAACGGAATATGGAGAGACAGGGAGATTTAGTGAAGGGGAACTCTTTGTTTTCAAAAGTTATTTCCTAAGTGAGGCAGAACTGGGTGAGAGCTGGGCTGAGCTTTGATGCTGACCATCACCTCCTTTAGTCCCGCAAGGCTGGTTGCTTCTTGCCCCCGGATGAATATGTAGTGACTGATCCTGAGCAGGAAAAGAATTTTGGCTTCAACCTTCGGGATGCCCTGAGCCGGGCTCAGAAGCAACGGCTACTGGAGGTAAGAGGCTGTCTTCTGCTCTATGCTCCAGCCCTCCCCAGAAGTTTGTTTAAGGTCTGTTCCCTCAGTGCATGCATCTACTGACCCAGTATTCCGCACCCCCCACCCCCCAGGGCTATGAGATTCATGTGACTCCAGGAGTTCAGCCACCACCACCTCAGATGGCAGAGATCATCAGCTGCTGTGGAGGCACTGTCCTGCCCCATATGCCTCGGTCATACAAGGTACAGACAGTATGTTTTGGGTCTGGTAAGATGTCAGAGAAGTCTAGGAGAATGGACACACACACTTGGGAGCAGAGATGGCTGAGGAAGACATATAGTATAGAAAAGGATGGGAATGAGGAAAAAAGATGCATAGACTTAATTTTAAAAACCATAAACACAAAAAGCAGAATCTCCATATACCAGCTGCTCAGATAGAAGAGTTTTTGCATTTTGCTCTACTTGTTTCATCTATCCTTAATCTCCTTTCATTTTCTTTGCAAGGTATTTTAGAGCAGACATCACATTCTTCCCTCCTATACACTTATCTCAGGGAGGGAACTTTAGTGGCTTAGTGGCAAGGTGCACTGTCAATGCAAATGTGGTTCAAACCTGTTAGCTCCTCTGTAGGAGAAAGGTGGGCAGTCTCCTCCCATGCAATTTAATATCCCTAAAAACCCACTGGTCAGCTGTGTGTCAGTTCTGACCAGGCAGTAAAAAACAACACACAAGTCAGGAACCTTGGCGTTACAATGGTTAAGTGATCAGCTGCTAAGCTAAAGGCTAGGCATTCTGCTCCTGTAAAGATTATAGCCTAGAAAACCCGGTGGTACTGCTTCCTCTGTCACATTGGATTGCTATATGTTAGAACGGATTCTATGGCTCTTAACAAAAACATACTTACGTAAAAACTCTTAAAAATATTTACCTTTTCTTACGTAATCAGAATGCTAATATCTCTAACAAAATGATCAGTGATTTCTTGGTCATCATCTCATACTCATTAAATGTACCAAATTTCTCTAATTGTCTGTAAAATATCTTTTTTACAGTTCAAAACAGGATCCATAGTTGGACCTTGTCACAATTGTTGAATCTCGCTAATTCTGTTTTATTCCATTGCTGCCCCCAACCCACTCACTCTTCTTTATCCTATTAACTTTTCAGAAATTAGGTCAGTCACCGTCTAGAATGTTCCAGTCTGGATTATGTTTGCTCCCTTGTTGTACCACTTATTTTGTTCTTTTTTAAAGTTCTGTAATGCCTATAAATTGCACTTAACTTTAAAGGCTTGAATAAATTCAGATTCAACTTTTTAGTGAGGAATACTTAAATAGAACTGTATGTTCTGTTAGGCTTTATCTCAAGTACCTTTTTTTATATACATAATTTTTAATTGCTATTTTAGTGAAAGTTTACAGAAAACTTGTATTTCCATTCATTGTTGCACATTTTTCTTCCTACCCCCACAAGAAGTACTATTTTTTTCAAACATCAAAAATGTTTAATTTTCTTTTTTCCTCATTATTTCACATTTTCTTCCCCCTGCCTTTCCCCTTTCCCATAATTCACCCCTTGTTCCAGATTGTTGTCACACATATATAATGCCTAATCATATATTCCTTTCATACAGTTCTTCCCCTCATCTGTTCTAATGCAATGTTCATTATCTATCCGTTTTTCCCCCATTCTATCCCCACCCCCCTTAGGTCTGTCCTGTTTTATAACAGTGATGTTATGCAGTATTTGTCCTTTGGTGGCTGATATTTCACTCAGCATAATGTCCTCTAAGTGCCCCTATGTTGTGTAATGTTTTATGACTTCATTGTTTTTCAGTGCTGCATAATATTCCATTATGTGAATGTATCATGGTTTTTCTTTCGATTTGTTGATGAATACTTGGGTTGTTTACATCTCTTTGCTATTGTGAATAACACAGCAATAAACATGGATATGCATGTAAGAAGTACTATTTTCTTGATATTGAGACTGACTAAAAAAGCTCTGGTGACATAGTATATTACATATTATTCTATTAACCAGAAAGGTCAGCAGTTCAAATTTGCCAATGCTCTAATACAAAAAGATGGTCTGTTTTTTCCTATAAATATTTATAACTTGGGAAACTAGATGGACGATTGATATGAGTGGGAATTGACTCAACTGTGGTGGGTTTGGTAAGACTCTATAGTGGGGTTCTAATACTTTTTCATGCTTAACTTCCTGTCTGCTCTCGGTCTCTCCTCAGCCTCGAAGAGTTGTGATCACATGCTCCCAGGATTTCCCTCGCTGCTCCATTCCCTTTAGGGTGGGACTGCCCCTCCTCTCATCTGAGTTCCTGCTGACAGGAGTGCTGAAGCAGGAAGCCAATCCAGAGGCCTTCATCCTTTCCACTCGGGAAATGTCATCCACCTGAAAGCCCTAGTGCCCTTTCCCCTTCTAGAACTATAAAGTGTTAGACAGTATCAGGAAGACTGAACCCAGGACTGATTGGGATATACTGATATGACTTGTTCTGTGCAAGAGGTGGGGGAGACACAAGAAAGGCTTAGGAAGTGGTAGTAAGATCAAGAGATTGAGCACTATACGTTTTTTTAAATGGCCATTTAATTCTTAGAACTTTAAAACTACTCAATTTTAGCCAGTCTAATTTAGTTATTGCTCCTTGACACATATGAAAGCTTTGTTGCTTCTTACTTTCTTATTGGAAGTCTTACTTATCTTCTGAAAGATGAATAGGTTTTGGGAATGGTACTAAAATATTTCTTTTGGCCTTGCCTCCTTAGAAATGACCTTTAAACTTTGATTTTGAGTAAGTTGTGCTTTTCTGTCCGTATTTCCATATTTATACAATAAGAACCTCAGCTTGACCTCTATAATAAATATTCACTCAGTGCCTTATGGCATAAAAGTTTTTCTTTACAGTCTGGTTCTTAAGAGACATACTTTTCCCCTATAGCTATGGCTTTGTATTTATCATCACTATCTTCTAGTTAGGGAAAATGATACAAATTTTCTTAAATTTTAAAAGTAGTTGATTTTTGAGGATGTAGAAAAATTGGAATTATTTATTGCTAATAGGAATAACATTAGCTTTCTACGAAGATAGCAATGAAAGCAAAGAAGGAATCCCTTGCCCTTCTCAAAACTGAAGCCAAAGCAAAGGCATTAAAGGCCAAGAAAGCAGTCCTGAAGGGCATCCACAGCCAAAAAAAAAGAAGATCCTCTGTCACCCACCTTCTAGTGGCCTAAGACGCTGAGACTCCAAACGCAGCCCAAATACCTCCAGAAAAGCGCCCCTAGGAGAAACAAGCTTGACTACTATGCCATCATCAAGTTTCCTCTGACCACTGAGTCAGCCATGAAGAAAGATAGAAGATAACGACACACTAGTGTTCATTGAGGATGACAAGGCCAAACAAGCACCAAATAAAACAAGCTGTAAAGAAGCTCTGTGACATTGATGTAGGCAAGATCAACACCTTGATGAGGCCTGATGGAGAGAAGAAGGCCTATGTTTGACTTGCTCCTGACTATGATGCTTTGGATGTTGCCAACAAAATTGAGATAATCTAAACTGGGTCCAGCTGGCTTTTTTTTTTTACATTTTGGAATTTTTAATTAAGTTTTTATTATTAATTTTAATGAAAATTTACAGAGATTTTGGATATCCATTCATTCATTGTTGCACTTTTCTCCCTGCCCACCTTTCCCCTCCAGTTCATTCTCTTTGAAAAGTAAAAGAAAAATGCTTTGTTATACAGTCCCTCAAGTCCACTCCACTATGCAGCCTTCATTCTGGACTCATGTCATGACAATAATACCTAATCATAAATATATACCCTTTAAACAGTATTTATCCCCCTTTTTTCTTCTCCCTAACCCCGACATCAGTCCCGTTTTACAACAGTGGCACTACACAGTATTTGTCCTTTTGTGACTGAGATATTTCACTCAGCATAATGTCCTGCAGGGTCACCCATTTTTTTGTTGTTTTGTTTTTTCTATAATTATATTTTATTAATTTTCATAAACATTTACAAAGATTTTGGGTTTCCATTCATTCACTGCTGCACCATTCTCTCTACCCTCCTGGGTCACCCATTTTTAATATTTCATGAGTTCTTTGTTTTCAATGCAGCCTAGTATTCCATTGTGTGAATATACCAGAGTGTCTCCATCGATTCGTTTGTTGATGGGCACTTGGGTTGTTTCCAGCTCTTTGCTGTTGTGAACAAAGCCGCAATAAACATGGGTGTGCATGTAATTTTAAAATTTTACATTGATAAATGTAGAGAGAACATAAGATAATAGATGCTAAGTAGAATAAACGACTTAAAATTTTCAAAAAGCAATAAATACAGTGCTCGCTTACTAAAATTGGAGCCATATATAGATTACCATGGTCTCTGCGTAAGGATGACGCGCAATTCGTGAAGTGTTCCGTATTTTGCAGTAATGATCTCTTCACAGTATCTTCTCTGTTAAATCTTTATTACTTTAGTGCCTCTTTACTGTTTGAAATGCACTTCAATAATTTTATCTATTTCAAATGTTTTAACTAATTAAAATTAGCTTTAGAAAAGGGACTTGATACATGATGAATCTAAAAAATACATGAAAGAAACCAGACACAAGTGATCACATATTAATGATTCCATTTGTAGAAAATACTAATAGGTAGGTCCATAAATAGAACGCATATGTTGACTACCAGAAGGAAGTGGTCGTAGTCGGGAGACTGTGATTGCTTAATGAATATAGGATTTTGAGATAATGGAAATGTTTTGGAACTCTAGTTCAGCCGGAGTTGGTGGTTATACAAAATTGGCTAAATGGCACTACATTGTTCTCTAAAATTATGTTATTGGAATTTCACTTGGGAAAAACTCAAACATTTGTGTGCATTTTCTGCGTGTTAGTCTGAAAACTGGTGTAGAAGAAACAGCATGACCTTTGCCAAGCAAGGATGGCATTTATAGTTCATATTTATTAATTCATTCTTTGGAAAAAGTGCTTAAAATTTTCTATTTCAAAAAACCCTGCGAGAGCAACTGTTAGCAGAGCTGAGGTTCAACCCACGAGAGAGGCAGCTGGGCTGTGGCTCTTTATACCTCTCACGTGGGATTCCAACATTCCGCTCGGTGAGGCTAGGATTACTGACTGTGGCAAAGTGTTTAGGCTTCTACGCCGCCACCTGATAGGGCAAGCGTTGCGGGGCGGACCGGAAGCTCAGGCGTCGGAGCGCACGGCCCCGCCCTTGGGGGGGGGGGAAGCCCACGAGGGGGCGGGCCTAGGGCGGAGTTAGCGGCAGCGGGAAAGCCGGGCCCGCCCCTTTCTTCACCTCTCTGTTTCTCGTCATGGCCCCTGCGCTGCTCCTGGTCCCTGCTGCCCTCGTCTCCTTCGTTCTGGCCTTTGGCACTGGAGTGGAGTTCGTGCGCTTTACTTCCCTCCGGCCACTCCTTGGAGGTGTCCCAGAGTCCGGCCCGGGTGAGGAGGAGGGACCCGGGCGATGACTCCAGAGCAGGGAGGTGGAGCCGAAGGAACGGGCGTGGGGGCGGGGCTTGGCGAGGGATGACAGATGGGAAGTCCGAGAGAGGGAACTCTAACCATGGAAGCGCCCAGATGCCTCAGCTAAATTAGGAACTCGGGGATAAGCGGTTTAGAGTGGCGGTAAAGTGAGGACTGAGGAGGGAGGGAAAGGGTGAAAATATTTTAGGGAATGAGCTCTGTGGAGAAGACTGTGAAGAGTGTTTAAAAGAGGAAGGCATTTGGAGAACTGAATAAAGGGAGTAATTGAAGGATATCCTTTATAGCCATGCCTTTAATGACTGCCCAGCTGTCACTGTTCTGTTACTCCTCTTCTACTTTGAGGGAGGCCTGGGAAGAAAGAAGTGGAAAAGGAATAGTGACCTGGGAAAGCTTGAAAGTGCTTGAAGAAGCTTCAAAGCATTAAGGGGCCTGAAGTCCTAAGAGATGAGGGCACGGGTGTATCTCACCATATATCTGATCTGTTGCCCTTTTCTCTCTGAACTTCGCCTAGATGTCCGCCAGGGATGGTTGGCTGCCCTGCAGGACCCCAGCATCCTTGCCTCTCTTGCTTGGGATCTAGGGCTCCTACTTTTATTCATGGGGCAGCACAGTCTCATGGCAACTGAGACCGTGAAGGCATGGTCATCCCGCTACTTTGGGGTCCTGCAGAGGTCACTGTATGTGACATGCACTGCTCTGGCCTTGCAGGTATTGGGGCTTGGCAGGTGAATTCTCAAGGGACAGAGTCTGGGGGGAACCCTGGGTTGGAAGGGCATAGAGCTTATGCTTTTGACGAAAGTGTGGGTTTGGGAGGAGAGTTGAGGGTGTTCAGGCCTCTAATCTCAGCTTCTGTTCCTCCACAGCACATATCCTACTCTATCGAGAAGGGTGTATTTGTCATTCCCCAAGCACAGCATGTGCATTCTATCTTTGCAACTTTATTCATGTTGTCCCCCTACACCCCCTATCATTTCTTCAAAATCCACACCTTAAATCTCAAGAGAGTTTCCCAGTGAATAGTACTCTGCCTTCTCATTGGGTGCTTAGCACAGGCTGCTTCCTCTGTCTAGTCACCACGCCCATTCTGAAAGTCCTCTGGGTAGGCAGGTCATCTTTACATTCTTGAGATCCCATCCAGCAAACCTGCACATGGTGAATATTTGTTAGTGACATTCATGATGCAAGAGGGCTGCAGGCCAGCCTGGAGTGGGGCAGCTAGGTCTGGGTCTCTCAAGACTGGGTTGCCAGGATACCCAGCCCCTCATCCTTCCCCAGCTGGTGATGCGCTACTGGGAATCCATACCCAGAGGTCCTGTGCTGTGGGAAGCTCGAGCAGAGCCATGGGCCACCTGGGTGCCCCTCCTCTGCTTTGTGCTACACATCATTTCCTGGCTCCTCATCTTCAGCATCCTTCTTGTCTTTGACTACGCAGAGCTCATGGGCCTCAAACAGGTGAGGTTTCCAGATCCCTACCTGGGGCCTACAGCCCTTTCTAAAATTCCTTTTCCCCACCCAAAGATTTCAGTCCTCCCCTTCCAATGCATTACTACCTTTCCTTTGCTTTTTACTCCCTCATCTTCCTTTTCTGTCAATCTCCCTCATTCCACTTGGAAAGTCCCCATCATAGGTCTCCTACTCCATTCTTTACTCCTTCCCAGATAGCAGGATCTCGGCCCAATTCTTGGAAGGAGGTAGGGTACCAGGTCCAAGTTCTAGGAGGGCATCTGAGAGAGGAATAAACAGAGGGTTAACTTGTGAATAGGCTTGACTCCATTTCTCAGTCGTTTTTCTTCTCCTAGGTATACTACCATATTCTGGGGCTTGGAGAGCCACTGGCCTTGAAATCCCCTCGGGCTTTGAGGCTCTTCTCCCATCTGCGCCACCCAGTATGTGTAGAGCTGCTGACTGTGCTGTGGGTGGTGCCTACCCTGGGCACTGACCGCCTCCTCCTTGCTCTCCTCCTCACCCTGTACCTGGGCTTGGCTCATGGATTGGACCAGCATGACCTTCGATACCTCCGGGCCCAGCTGCAAAGAAAACTCCACCTGCTCTCCCGTCCCCAGGATGGGGAGGCTGAATGAAGAGCTAACTTTTGGTTCTAAGCTTTGTACTTCTTCCCCAAAAATTCAGAAACCTTCAACAAACATCTAAGTGCTGGCTACTTCAAGCCAGGGACTCCATTCTTTAAACTCCTTGAACTTGAAACCCATTCCTCAGGGTCAGCCCTATACTTTCAATTCAGATGCCTCGGTCACACCAGACAAGGCCTCCTCCCAAATGAGGGCATGTATTTCTTCTGTTCCTTCACTATATAGGGCTTGAACTTGAGCTCCCTTCCAGCCTCTCCACGTGGGAAAAGATACCCCTTGATCAATCCCCTGACACTATTACTCAGGGATTCCCCCTTATCCATGGCTGGATCCTGTCCCAAGGAGCTGGGCTGGACTGAAAGTTTGACCACAGATAGCAGGCACTACTCCAGAGCCCATGGGGGGGCTCCACCTCCCTAGGCCCCGCCCCTGGGCACCTTCCCCAGGACCACGCTGAGAGGACTCTAGTGCTCTTTAGAAGAACAGTGGCTTAGGGCTCCCTGCTCCCCTGAGGCACATAGAAAATAAAATTTAGCCAGACTTTTATACATTTTGCTTGTAGTCTTCAGTGTCTCACAGGCTACAGGATAATGCTTGGGAAGAAGGGAACAGAAGCCTAGTGGTGCAAAGCTTCTGTAGTTGCCACCATGTCCCCTTGAGCGACTGATGGGCAGTGGCCACTCGTGGAGGGTACCCCACCCACATATACCTTCATGGAGTTTCCTAAGTCCTGTCTACCTCCAGCTGCCGTCCAGGGGACCAATAGGAGACAGACTGAAGCTAGAGAGGATAGGGCCACAAATCTGGTGGAGAAGTGAACTTTCCAATGTAGTTGGCTCCATGAAGCCTTCCTGTTCCCTTCCCCTATTCAAGCCAGCCCACACAGCAGGGCAGCAGCAGCAGCCCTGGACCCCCACAGTAACAAAGGCTGACCCGGGATGGCAAAGGGGTGGGGAGGAGCAGCTAGAGATGGGAAGGGCGGGCCTGGTTTGGAGCAGCTGCTGCTTCCTCCCCAAGTCCCTGGAGGGGCCTGAGTCACTGGCCGCCGCCCTGGGTTGGTGAGGTAGGAGTGGGGATCCTAGGCTCTTTAGGGCCCCTGAGGACTGGTCACAGACTGTCAGGGGGTCAGACACGATGGGCAGTCCCGTAGCAAAGCCTCCAGCTGGGTCTGGGGGAGGGAAGCTCCGCCCCCTCTTCGGGCTCCACCCTGCGCCCCCTTCCCTATCCTCATTGTTCTCAGACAAAGCGGTCGCCGCCCCCAGCTCAGCCCCCTGGTCCCTGTCTCCGTCCCTCCTCCCCTGCTCCCTTCTTCCCTCCTCCTCCCCTCCCGCCCATCTCCGGATCTCCCTTGCTCCCTCTCTCCTCCTCTTCCTCTCTCCAGACGCCTGGCTCTTTGGCACCCCCTCCCCCAGGGACCCACAGCGCGTGAGTTGACTTAGGGGTGTTAGCCTTGGGGAGGGGTGTGCTCTTGGCCTCCAGTCCTGGTCCTGGTTCTTGGGCTGCTTCTTCTTTGTGCTGAGATTGTGCGATCAGAGCAGAGTGGGAATGGCCAGCTAGGTCCAGGCTCGCTGCGAGCGGGGACCTGGACACAAGACTCGCAAGTTCTGGGAGAGAAGTGTTGTGGAGCTTGTCCTCGGCACGCCTGGGTCCTGGGACGCAGTCGGTGGGGTGACGGGACAGGGTTGGTGGGGCGGGGGTGGATGGTTCTGGGAAAGTGCTGGCAGCCAGAGTTCCGAGCGAGCGAGCGTCCCCGGGGAGGGTATTTCCCCCGACCCGCCTTGGAGGCGGAGAGCAGGGCGGGGAGGTGGGGGCTGGCGGAGCGGAGGGGCGTGGCCGCTGAGCACACGGGAAGGGGAGCCGGGAGCCCACAGCCTCGGGGCCCGCTACAGCGCGCCAGGCTCCGGCCACGGCACTCCTTTTCTTTTCCCCACCACCCCCTATTCCCTGTCCCCCACCCCCCAGACCTCTTCCCTCTCGGACCCCTCCTCACCTTCCTGACACCTTCCCAGGTCCTGTCGCCTTTTCCCCAGCGTCACCCTCTGACCTCCCTTCCACACACCTCCCCAGGGACCACTGGGAGACAGCTTCGCCAGAACCTGGGGCCTCCACATCAGCTTCTTTTTTTCTCTCCTTCACCCTAGCTTCTCTTTCTCCCATCTTCTCATATTTTTGGAACAGAATCTAAAACTTCTGAACCCGGTGCTGCCAAATCTGACTCCTTCCTCTCTGCCCTGAATCAGGGCTCTTCCTCTCACCTCACTGCTCCCCGCTTCCTCTCCTTGGCCCCTATCTTTCCTCTTTACTTTCTTACCTTTACCCTTTCTCAGACTCCTGATGCCCCTTGTCCACTTCCTCCCCCCTCACCCTCAGTCTCACCCCTGAGCCTCTCTCACGATCCTCTCCTTCCTGTCCTCTGCCCCAGCACTCCACAGCCTCACCCCAAGGCGATCATGGCCACCATCCCAGACTGGAAGCTCCAGCTGCTAGCCCGGCGTCGGCAGGAGGAGGCAGTGGTGCGTGGCCGAGAGAAGGCTGAGCGAGACCGCCTGTCCCAGATGCCAGCATGGAAGCGGGGGCTCCTGGAGCGCCGAAGGGCCAAGCTAGGGCTGCCCCCTGGGGAGCCTAGCCCTGGAGCTGGGACCTCAGAGACAGAGGCTGGGCCTCCAGATCCAGATGAGTCGGCTGTCCTCCTGGAGGCCATAGGGCCCGTGCACCAGAACCGATTCATACGGCAGGAGCGGCAACAACAGCAGCAACAGCAGCGGAGTGAAGACCTGCTTCCTGAGAGACGGTATGGACCACTTGAGGCAAGGGAGCGAAGACTCAGCCCTGGAGAGACAAGGGATCAGAGCCCCAAAGGACAAGAGTCAAGAGAAGAGAAGCTCAGCCCTCGAGAGGCCATAGAGAAGAGGCTGGGGATAGGGGGATCCCGAGAGTCTAGCCCCAGACCTTTGGAGACTCGGGATTGGAGGCAGAGTCCAAGAGAGACCGGAGACAGGAGCTCCGGCCAGCCAGAAGCACGGAAATGGAGGCTGAGCCCTGGAGAGACTCCAGAGAGGAGTGTGAGACTGGCAGAGCCTCAAGAACAAAACCCCAAGAGGACAGAGGTGGTGGAAAGTAGACTGAGCCCAGGGGAGTCTAGTAACCAGAAGCCGAGCCTGACAGAGGCCCATAAATGGAGGTCTGATTGCAGAGAGTCTGAAGAGCAGAATTCGGTACTACTGGAGGCATCACAGTGGAGGCCAAGCTCAGAAGAGGAAAGCAAAGAATTCTTGGAAGAATGTGGGAAAAAAGAAGAAAAGGTGGCCTCAGAAGACAGTATATGGCTATCAGAGCCCCTGACAAGGGAGGCTCAACACAACAGTCCCAGGGGCATGGAGTCTGCAGAGCAGAGGCCCAGCCTAGCAGAGGACGGCGAGAGAAGCCCACGGCCAACAGACAGGTGGAAATGGACCCTGAACTCAGGGAAAGTGCGGGAATGGACACCCAGAGACATAGAGAATCAAAAACCAGAACCATCAGAGTTGGTTGAGAAGCGGCTGGGGCCACCTGGGGTGGACCTTGGAGAAAAGGAGGCTGAGGAGGAAGAGGAGGCAGGGACTCAGAGCAGGCCTCTGAGAGCTCTGCAGAACCGCTGCTCTGTGCCCTCCCCCCTCCCACCAGAGGACGCTGGGACAGGAGGCCCTCGACAGCAGGAAGAGGAAGCAGTGGATCTCCAGCTCCCATCACCAACCCCTCTGTCTTCCCCACCCCCTGCCCTACCTGTACCCCAGCCCCCTGGGGATCCCCTCATGAGCCGGCTGTTCTATGGGGTAAAGGCAGGGCCAGGGGTGGGGGGCCCCCGCCGCAGTGGACACACCTTCACAGTCAACCCCCGGCGGTCTGTGCCCCCTGCAGCCCAGGCCCAGGTCCCTCCAGCAGCCCCGGCCACAGCTGATGCTGCAGTCCCTGGGACTGGGAAGAAGCGGTACCCGACTGCTGAAGAGATCTTGGTTCTGGGGGGCTACCTCCGTCTCAGCCGCAGCTGCCTTGTCAAGGGGTCCCCTGAAAGGCACCACAAACAGGTAGGGGATCAGCCAAGCCAGACTTCTTAGGTGCCCGTGGAACAGTTCTCTCTGGGCACCAGTACTTTCTTTCATTTTTATACCCTTGTATTCTTGTCTCCCTCTATTATTTCTTGCTAATTCCAGCCACCACCCTTCCTCCCTCGGTGCACACCCCCCCCCTTTCTTGCTGTCATCCTGCTCCATTCCTTTCTGAGCCCTGAGGAGCCAGCAGCAGCTTTGGGTGTGTCTCCCAGGGTGTGCCTACCCAGCTCTTTCTCCCTTCCCTCTGGCACTGAGTTCTTCCCTCTTTCCGTTTCCTTCCCTCCTTTCCTCTGTTCCTGTGGGACCCAGCCTGGCCGGTCTGGTGGGCGATGAGAGCTGAGGATGAGACAGAGAGAAGGTCCAGAGAAATCTAGGGAAGCCAAAGAGATGAGTTACAGATTCTAGAAAGAAACAGTAGGGAATATGACAGGAAGGTCTCCCTCCCAGTCCTAAGGAAGAAAGGGGCAGCGCTGAGTAGGGACATCCAGGGAGAGAGCTATGAGAGGGAACAGGGCTAGCCAAAGAGCAGAGAAAAGGCTTTTGAACCCTGAGTCTGCCCCATAGGAGAGACACACAGAGTCCATTTGAAATGGGTGACCTTGGGGTTACACACCCCCAGCTGGGCTACCATTTCAGACAGTGCTTCCTTCTCTCTTGGGACAAGAAAAGCCTTCTCCTCTTCCAAAATACCCTCACCCCTCACTCCCCCGTTCTTCCTCTTTGGGCTTCCCCTCCCTTCCAGAACTGGCTCAGCAATTGGTTTTCCCCTTTCCTCCTGGCCTCTCTTTCCCTTTGGGGTAGAAGAAGAGAGAAGTAAATTCTGACACACAGTTCTCAACATCTGGAAGGCTGAGGAGTAACTTAGGAGTTGGGGAATGGTGGGCAGAGGGTCAGAGGTTAGGTTGAATAAAGACTACAGGGAAGTGGCAGGGCTCAGGCTAACTTCTCCCCTAGCCCAGTTCTTTCTGTCCCCAGCTTAAAAATCTCTAGGGAAAGATAGCTCAGTCACATCAGATTCAGGTTCCTCCAGCTAAAAGACACAGCAGCAAGAAAAAGTATTGGAACTCCAACCAGCAGCAGCAGCAGTATCTCCCCTATCTTTCCAACTCTCAACTAGAGCCCTGAGCATCCTCTCATGAGCCATCCAGAAACTAGAGGCCCTTCCTGGCCTTCAGTTCTCATCTTACATCCTAGCATTTGGTTGTTAGATCTTCGATGTCAGTGAGAAGCCTTAGGGTCTAAATATCTAGGCTATGCCTAGTGGTCATTTGGTCCTCAGATTCATCTCCACCTATCACTTATGCTCCCATTCTAGAAGCCTCTGATGGCTGGGAAATACAAAAGAGGTAGGTCAGGAGACTATGAGGGGGAGGTGTTCAGAAAGGTCACTTCCTACTAAGGTCAGCTTGTGCTTTGGGAAGAAAAAGGAAGTGAGACACTTTGGATTCCAAATCCCAGTGTCCATCTGTTGGGATCCAGGAACCTGGTAGAGAGCAGGACCAGGGATGGTGACCATTGCTAGGTCAGAGAGTAGGGGAGCTGGAAGCAGATCGGCCAAACAGGAAGTCTGGGGTGGGGGCCGGAAGGCTGGTGGGGAAGGCTGGGTCCAGGGCCTGCCAGAACTGTGCTCAGGATGTGGTGAGAGAATAAGGAAGCAGTCTTCTGGGTTGGGGGTGGGGAAGAAGCAGCACAGTTTCCTAGACCCAGACACCTCACCCTTCCATCCTCTCTCAGCTCTTCTTGTAGCCTCTTGTTCATCAGCAACACCCCAGCCCACTGACTCAGTGTTACAAAGGGCTGTCACCCCTTGCCACCCGCTCCCTAAATAATTCTTCTTGCACGCTAATTCCATCAAACTGATCTCTGACATTGGGAGAGAAATCCCAGCCTTGGCAGCTACTGGGGATATCTCTGGCTGAGAGGCCCGCCCTTCTCTTCCCTGGCCCCCTTGTGACCTTATATAGCTGATGAGAGAAGAGCAAGTGAGTCACCCCCTGCCCACTCCCCCCACTGTCATGCAGGCTGTGCATTCCTGAGAAGCCCAGTCAAAAGTCTGAGGAGGGGAGTGAGAAGAGGGGCAGGATAGGGGGTGGGAGTGGGAAGAGACAGACATAGACTGAGAGCAAATCAAAGGCATCCTTCTTCTGAGAATGGTTAATGAATGATGGAGATTGTTATTGCAAAACCAAATCCCTTGTCATGGAGTTGCTTCCATTGTAGAGTAGAATTGACCCACAGAGGTTTCTTGGCTGTAATCTTTATGGACACAGATTGAGGCCTTTTTTTCCATGGTGCTACTGGGTGAGGTCATGCCTCCAGACTTTTGGTTAGTAGCTGCTTACAAATCCTTTGCACCACCCAGGACAGTGGACCAGCAGGGGAGTGCACTTATCAAAGGAGTGACACCAAAATGACTGACTGTAACAGTTTTGATCCATGTAAGCTGTGGGCACTGGTGAGGCCTAGGCTAGGTGTGGGTGCTGTGGTGTAGCTAGGCCAGGAGCTGGTGTAGGAGGATGGAACCTGTGGCTCCTGGGCTACCCACAGTAGCATGAAAAGTATGACCTCACTGACCAAGGACATATGGGAGCACCTAGATGGGGGGTGCAGGGAAGGACCTGACAGGATTCTGTATGATCTGCTATGTGAGAGGGTCCATGAGGGTATCATACCCTGAGTTACAGCACTGAGTAACAGTACTGCCCAGGAACCTTATTATCCCAAACATGGATGTGATGAGAAAATAGAATGGGATGTGTAGAATCTGGTTGCTGTCACTAAATTCCCTTGGCAGTTTTATCAGTGTGTACTACGGTTCTACCGCACAGACTGGGTTCTCTTATATTGCTTCCCCAACCTCTGTCCTCTGTTGAGACCTTTTCAGAATTCTGGATGAACCTTTATCTTCCTGTTGTGCAACTTCCATCTCTTATCAGTTCACTTCACAAACATTGATTGGATACCTACTGTGTGCCAAGCACTTTTTTTAGACAAAAATTTCTGTCCTCTGATAGAAGAGGTTGGGGTGACAGATGAGCAAATTCTGTAGAAAGTGGGAACTGTTGCGGGGGGGCAGAAATTAGAAAAGAGGTAAATGGAACCTAGAGAGAAGAGATGTGGGAGAGTGAATATAGCAACTTTATAATAAGAAGATTGAGAGGAAGGGAACCCTGGGAGATACCTAGGGGAAGTTTCAGGCACAGGGAACAGGCAGGGCAAAGGTGAGAGTGGACCTGGTGGGCTTGGAGGAAAGGAAGGCCAATATGCCTGGATTGGGTGTGGGGAGGGGCACATGAGCCACTGTCAGCCTTTTGGCTTTTGTTCTCAAATGAGGAAGCAGTAGAGGATTTGAAGTCAGAGTGATGTAGTTAGTCTCTGAGCTCCAGCTTCCTGCGGGGATCCAGATGTCCCATCCCACACAACCCTGAGCCGACCACCTGCTCACCCTTTGGCTTCTCTCTTCCTACACCCTAGTCCATGCAGATAGTCATAAACTGACTCCAGCAAAGGCCTGAGTAGAACATCTGGACCTTTCCAAGTACATGGAATCCTCCTGTTTCTCTCCCTAATCCATTTGGCTACCTAGTTAATCCCACTCTGCCCCTTCACCCTGAGCTTCTTAGGAGAGTAAAAGGGAAGGGAGGAAAGGCAACCAGAACAGCTGGGGCTCAGCCTGCCCTTGGGACAGTGTTTACCCTCCATACTTTTTCCTCTGGTCTTTTGCTCTGTCTCTGCCTGCTCCTCTGGCATCTCTCTGTGCATTTTCCTCTGCTCTCAATACCCCACTACCTCAGGGCTCATCTCCCTGGTGTGTTGAGCAGAGGTCTCTTGCCCCTCTCAGCCCTAGGTCCCCTTTGTTCTGAGTCTGTTCCAGCCAGAGGAGAGAAGTGAGGGGCAAGTGTCCAGGATCCTGGGTTTTCCAGGGGAAACCCAAGGTTCTAAGGACATAGACAGGGAGCTTAGCCTCTAGGGAGTGCGCTGCTAATCCAAAGGCGGTACCTCTCTGGCAGTGCAAATCCACTCTCCACTTGGTGGACAGACAATCTCCTCCTGGGCGATTTATAGCCTCCAAAAACCTACTGAGTGAGGGTCAGCTATGAATTTGTTCTGACTCCAAGGCACCTAATAGCATATATCCATGTATTAATATGGAGAACTGGAAAACGATACTTCCATTTGCCAGGGACTCCCTCTCCATCATGCTGGTAAAGAGGAGAGAAAGACCCCTAACAAGATGGACTGACACAGTGACCGTAATAATGGGTCCAAGCATTAGATCGTGAGGATGGCATAGGACAGGGCAAGGTTGAACCTTGGGGTCAGTGTGAGTCACAGTTGACTCAATGGTACCTAACAAGAAGAAAAACAACTCTTTCATCCACCTCTTTCCTGTCAAGTCAATGCAAATTTCACCCCCTCTGGGAGACCTTCTAGAATGCCCTCTGTGTTCTGGGGGTGGGGGAGGGGGTTCAGTCACAGAATTTATCTCTGTATTTTATTTTTTACCCATTACCGCCTACGCTCTAAAGAGCTGGGACCTTGGTCTGTATTACTCACTTTTTGCCTGCACAGCCCCTGCCAGAGCACAGGCCAAAGTCTGACGGTTTTGAAATAGCATGTTTGAAGAGAGGGCATCTAGGATTGATAAGCTAGTATTAAGAGGGAGACTAGATGGCAGAGTGGCGGGAGAAGGGAGTCAGTAGAGTGCCCTCGCCCAGCCTCTGCCTCCCACTCCCACCTGCTCCTCCAGCCATCCTCTGGGTTGACCAATCTCCTCTTCCTTCTCTCATATGCAGCTCAAGATCTCCTTCAGCGAGACGGCCCTGGAGACGACTTACCAGTACCCCTCTGAGAGTTCAGTACTGGAGGAGCTGGGCCCAGAGCCAGAGGCCCCCAATACTCCAGGCACCCCACCATCCCAGCCAGATGATGAAGAAGATGAGGAAGAGCTGTTGCTCCTGCAGCGGGAGCTCCAGGGCGGGCTGCGAACCAAGGCCCTGATAGTGGGTGAGAGAAACGCTGCCGGTCCCCGGGTGCCCCCTGGTGTGTGGGGATGGCACCGCACCCCAGGAGGGCTGGAATAGGTTTACATCAATATTAGCCCTTGGGAAGGACTTGGCAAAACCTCTAGCCTAGCCTCTCCTTTTATAGATGGGGAAACTAAGGCACTGGACGACGAAGTGCATATCAGGCTTCAAGACCAAGGCTCCTTCTGGTGCTCTAGTATAGCTCCAAACACATGGTCAGACAGGCCCCAGTTTGAATTCTGGCTTATCTTTTTTTTTCCTGCTGTGTCCTTAGCAAAATCGTTTGACCTCTGTTTTTTCCTTTCTGAATCGAAGTTGATAATAACGATAACCTTCAGGAACTGTTGAGAGAATCAAATTCTTTTGGTTCATCATCCAAAACCATGTTTGGATACCAAGTTACTTAACTTCCTTTGGTGTTGTATGAAATTAGAATTACATTCTCATATAACTGTAAGAAGGCACCCAGGTGATGCAAACCTGGCCACTAACTGAATGGTTGACTTGACTGAGCCATCTGTGGAAGAAATATGTGGTGATCTGTTCCCATCCAACCTCAAAATCTCATGGAGCATGATCATACACTACAAGTCCAGTGACTCACTTGGCACCTACCTCTAACGTAAGTGCCTGAACAGAATGCAAGCTAAAGGACTGATGGTCCCTGTTACTTGTAGTAACAAACATGCAGGAGGAGGAAGATAGAGCACTCTTTTGCCAGTCGTCCTTTCAGCTTTGGGTGGGAGGGCAGGAGACAAAGGTCCTCCTTGCTCATTCTTTCTTGTCATCTCCCCTTGCACAGATGAGTCTTGCCGGAGGTGACCCTTTCACAGAGAAGATATATTTTTCTCCTTTGAAGAACTGAAGACCCTGGAGCTTAGAAGATCCTGAGTAGACAGACCCTGAATATGAGTGTGGCTGGGAAGGACAATGTTCCCCAGCTTGCTTTTCTCATCCTGTTTCTGCAGGCAGAGCCAGTTGTCCAACTTCAACTCTCATCCAATGCCCATGGTGTGTCAAACATGTTGGCGCCTCCAGGTGATCCAAGAGTGAGTTCCAGGCCATGGATGGAAGCACAGGGCCCACTGGAGTGGGAGTAGGGTGTATGAAGATGGCATGTCTCCTCCATTCCATGGGCAAGGACACTGTCCCCAAAGTCTTCCTCAGCTACCCATCTCCCTGGGGTCCTCTCAGGATTTAAGCACTCATCTATGTCCCTGGGAAGTCTGGCCTGCACTCTGATCTCAATAATGCCACCCTGTGTTTACAGAACCTGCCCCCTCTCCTGACCACAGTGTGGATTACAAACCCTTCCAGCTCCCAGCACGATGCAGCCAAAACCCAGGTTTACAAGCCACGCCCATCCCCCAGTCTATGTGACACCCCTCCCCGTTGCCTCCTTGGGTGTACCCTGGGACATAGCTCCTCCCATTTTTGCTCAGTATTACTGTGCCTCAGTTTTTCCCAAGAGGAAAGACTGGGAATCTTGACTTTGTATTCCAAGATAGTTATTTAATTCTATTCCTCCTAATTTCACAATTGAAATGAATTTTAAGAGCGTGGGGTGATGAAGGAGGCACCTCACTTTTCCTTTATTAATTGTGGTTTGTTTGTTTTTTTTAACTTTCCATAATAAAACAGAAGTCTCTCTGATTTTCCTGCTGTTTTCCTTAGTGGGAAAACTAAGTGTGTGGAGGACCTTGGAGACTCCAAGTTCCTCATTCCCAGCCTCACCCATTTGCCTTTTAGTGATAAAGAGGAAGTGGCCAGAACTGTGAAATGAGGGCTTTTCATGGTTTTAATTTGCAGAACAATAACAGATATGAGCAAGGACAGTTGAGTGTTCACTGGATTGAAAGTATCATGAGGGTGGACATTTTTTTTTTGCCTGGAACCTAGTAGGCACACAAGAATTGCAAAACTGAATAAAATGAACAAATGAATTAGTAGATGAAAGGAGTTAAAAGATCTGAAGTAGAGGATGCTGAGTTAAAGGATTGTGGTAGTCAGAGACTGCTGCAGTACAAACAGCCAGGTAATATGTGTCATAAAACTCATGTAAAGGGCATTACATAACATCTTGGGAGCCACCAACAGTAATCCCCTGAAAGTATTGTAAAATTTCATATCTACAGAAGGAGAGTTTCCTGAAAACTGGTCTCTGATAGACAATATCTGTTACCTTCCTAAAGTGCTAAGAAGGAGTGCTAGTGCAATGTGTTAGGTGTTATACACCAAAAGGTCAGCAGTTCAAACCCACCAGTTGCTTTACAGGGGAAAGATAAGCAGTCTTCTTCAGGAAAGATTTATGACTTTGGAAACCCAGTGGAGTATCACAATCGGTATGTATGTATCAAAATCTGTCATGGGTTTAAAGGGTTAAGATCCATGAATAAATTCATCCCTTTGGTAGCCAAGAATTGTTAACAGTAGATTTTCCCATTTCAAAGAACATCTTCTAGAAATGTGGTGCATCTGTGGTTTATTTTTCAATTACTATCAAGCTGATTTTGATTCATTGTGACAACATACATGCTAGAAAAGAACTGTGTTCCATAGGTGTTCCAGTGGGTGATTTTTTTTTCTCCCAAATAGATGATCTCAAATTCTCTTTGGACAAACTTACATCTTTCACATAGCAATCAAACACTTTAGCACCATACACAGGCAACATTTTACCAAGTGATGTATCAGCCCAGCCCTCAAGGCTAGTAAAGGCCTAGATGAGAAGTTCTAGTTCTTTTACTGCTACTCAGGATGCCTCTTAATCTAATCATAGAGACTTCTTGTCATGAAAAAAAATTAAGACATGAATCCTAAGCATATGCCAAAGATCTGTGACAGGCAAAGTGTATAATGAATGAGCTACCAGCTCAGAGAGGGTTTGAGCATGGAATTCTTGGTTTGTTGCTAGATCCTGGAAAGTCAGCTGCAACTATGAAGCTTAATTTAACCATGAACAACAGAATGAGACGTTCCCTGATTCTGTGCCATCCTCACAATTGCTGTTAAGCTTAAGCCCTTTGTTGCAGTTACTATTCAATTATTCTCATCTCTCCTGAAAACATGCCTGTCTAAAAAGCAGAAAACAGGTCATAGGGACATAGGGCCAAGAGAACCTCTCTGGAAGGGCCAGAGGGAGTAAGAATAGCACAGCCCTTCACTGCCCCAGAACAGAAAGCAAATCAAGAGCCCACAGCCCTGTACCATGGTGCCTCTAGAGCCCCAGGAACAGCAAGAGGTTCATTTATTTGTTGTTAACTCACAAACACAGTTATGGTACCAACAATGGGGATTATTAGTGAAGTGAGTGGGATAGGCAAAGAATATCTCACTATACAATCAAGGCTTTAGCTCAGCAGCTCCAAGGCACAATTCCTCAATAAGTCTAGGTTGTGGTTTCAGTTCAGCAATTAACTACAAATCATCCAGCAAGGTTTGCCTCAAAGTAGTTATAACTAAACTATCCAGCAATGTTTGCCTCAGAATAGTTATAAACCAGTTTCTCCTTCAAACATCTGACAAGAACAGCCAAACCTTTAACTGTGGCCAGCACAAATGCAAGAAGCCTCTGGTCACACTTTGTCAATGTTTATCCACAGCAGTGCCAACAGTCTCTCCTCCATCAGGATCTCACTCTTACCTGGTCTTGCCACCATAAGCCTTGCTCGTGTCAAATCTTGCTCCTCAGTGTGGGAAGCACTCCTTCTCTTATTCTAGTCCCACACATGGTGGTAATTTGCAAGACCATGTGTCTGCAGTTAAGGTAGCTGGAGACCAGAGGCTAAATGGCTTAAAAAAAAAGGAGAGAAAAGAAGGTGAGCTCCGGTTGCCTAGTGGCAAGAAGCTGCACTGCAATCACAGAGGTACACATTTCAAGTCCATTGGATGCTCTGCTGAAGAAGATGGTACACTCATATAAAACAATAATACTTTTAAAAATTTAAGAAAAGTCAACTTTTAGTCTAACACTACAATGCCCAAAGTATGTGAGACAAAGTCACGTCATCGTAACTTCCAAGGCAGATTTGTTCATTTTTTCTGGCAGTCTATATTTAATATTCTTTGCCAACACCACAGCCTAAAGGAAAAGTTCTTCAGTCTTTGATATTCATAGCTCAATTTTCTTTTTCCTGGAAAAAAAGTATATGTAAAATACACAGCTAGAAGGTTGGGGAGAGGTGCAAGATAAGGAAAGATACATCAAACAAGTTGCTCAAACATGGCTTTTTTCTATGGAAGAGAGGGAATTTGACCTTTACCTCATCTACTTTTCCAGGCTCAAATATATTTGCTCCTAGAATGGTTAGACCCACGGAGCCCCATTTGCCAATCTCTTCCTAGAATAATGGGGAAGGATGTTTAGCATTTAAGCTTTTAAGAAATATTAATGTGGTAAAGGGAATCATGTTCAAATATCTTCTTTGAAAGCTGTTGGAGCTCTAGTGGCCTAGGGGAAAGAAGCAGTTCAAATGTCAGCCTGTGGAGCTGTTCCCAGTCCATCCTTTAGTACTTGTTGATGCCAAAGAGACAAACTCCATAGAACTGGGATAACTTAAGCAAAAGTATACTGATGGATTGACACAGTAACTGGGGTAATGGGAGTAGCTGTTTCAGAGTCAGTGAGATTGTCTCAGGATAGGGCAGGCTTCAGAGCTGTTGTACATAGACGGTCACTATGAGTCGCAGGTGACTTGATGGCAACACATACAGAGTAGTAAGGCTGTGTTGGTGAGAAAGTGAAAAGCATCAGATTTGGTGTAGAATCGGGTCAAGAGATAGAATACAATAGGAAAGACACCCAGACACTTGCATGAAGAAGTAAATTGGGACCCATAGTTTATCTACTCCCATTGTATTTGTAGCTTTTCCTTGGTCAGGGCTCTCAAAGGGTATCCATTTCCATTGAGTATAGGAAGATAGGCCAGTTATGGATGATGTTGATCAAGGTCCAAATGCCAGATGTGCTGAAGAAAGGAGTGCTGAATAGAACCACAAATGGCTTTGCTATCAAGAAGTAGTCAGCCAGATGCCTCCTGGTTATTCAGCACTCAGAAGCTGGGATTTACTTCACTGAGTGCCACCCTCACATTCATTCTGACAGCTTTGTCCCTCCTGGAGAACAGTACTGGCTTCCATATAATATTGTCCAACTTTCACATGTATATGAAGTGTGGAGTTTTTATCTTAATCTGGCTTTCCTAGTGTAGAAGATTGACCATGTGGAGGGGTGGGACTCAGCAAGTGAGGTATGTTGGCCCATCCACAAAGGGATTGGCTATCTACCATTCCACCAAGGGGACTGGTGAGTCTCAACAATCTACAAGAGAATTGGCTAGTCTCATCAATAAATTGAACAGGTCTAGCTTCAGAGAAAAGGAGTTTTTCCCTCACCAGAAGGAATTCTTCCTGCACCAGAAGAGATGGAATTCCTTTCCTAGCCAGAGAGTAGAGACCTCCCCCAACCCAGTGAAATGTAGGACACACTCAGGGATGGCAGTAGCAGTGGCGGCTGAACTGGAGAACTGGGTGTGAAATGGGACTCTTGGGTGGGGGAGTCAGTATTGACAAGACTGAAAAGTTTGTTGAGCAATTAGGGGGAGAGGCAATATTGGCAGGACTGAGAATTTACAAACCTGTAAAGGCACAAGGCTCAAGGATGAGGTGATGCGTGCACATTTTGGGAAGTATCTTGACTATTTTGGTATTAATCTGGATTCTAACTTTTTTATTCCCTCAGTATGGTTCTGTGTGGTCCGTGAGCTATCATAACCAATTTTTTTGGACTCAGTCAAGCTGTAAGATTGGTGTTGAGATGAGCA